TTTATCAAAATTATTTATATATTAATAAGATCACCTCTCATTGAAATTTGCTAGTATTTAGAAATGTCTAAATTAATTAAATCAGAATCTTTAAAATCTATTAAATTGATAATGAAAATGAAATTAATAACCAACATTGACTCTCAAATTAATAATTAATATTACCTTCAGTCTTCTCATCCTTTTCAAGATATGACATGGGCTTTACCAAACCTTTAAATGCAAATGGTCTACTTGTATATATAGCATCAGGATTTGCTAAATATGAAATTGATATATTTGGTATCTCTTTATCAGCTTTTTCAAACGCTTCCTTTATTTCTAATCCATAATTTCCATTTTTTTCAGAATTTTTATAATTCTCATATTTATAAACAGAATTGAACCAAAAATTCAATATGTAATACAATTCTTTGGCAGTTGGTCTTTGATTTGAATTTGCATTCATACATTTATAAGCTAATTTCTTATAAAATTCAGGAGTTCCTTTGCCAAAATCTGGACAAAGTCCTTTACAAACATCTAAGTATAAATGTAAATCATGGTTCATATCACAAAATGGAGGTTTTCCAGATGACAATTCAACCATAATTATACCAAAACTGTAGATATCCGAAGCTAAAGTATATAATAAGACTTCTGGAGCGATATAAGGTAAAACTCCATATATTCGGTCATCCGATTTTTGCCGATCTGCTGGTCCCGATAATCCAAAGTCCGAAATATATGTAAATTCATCTTGCAAGATATTTCCATTATGTAAATCTTTATAACAATATCTTAAATCATGTAAAATATATAGACTAGAAATAATAAGTCTTAATATATTAATTTTATTTTTCCATAAAATATTTTTAAAATTATTTGAAAGGTAACTTCTCAAATTTCCATCACGTACAAATTTTATGATCATAAGAAATTCATTTGTTTCTGGGTCCTTAGTTATTCCATAAAAGTTTAACATACGCAATCTATTTTTGTAAAATTCCCAATGTACTTTAATCTATTTTTATTTTGTAATAAAATTTAAGCAATTCGATATATTTTTAATTTAATAAATTTCAATAAAAATTGTAAAATACCTCATTAAAATAATTGGTTGACATATCACATGATCCAATTAACCTTTTCAAAGCAACCTTAATGGGTTTAGGT